TTTTCAAGAGAAAGATGAGAAACAGTGGATCCGAGCTGAAGCTCAATAGTTTCTCAGCAGAGCCACAGGCTGATCGCTTCATGCCACACCTCACTGATGCTGGAGTTTGTGCTAAAGGAGCCCCGACCAAGTATTGAGTGCACTTTAAAGAACTTGAACTTTTCTGTTTTGCAAATCCTTTTTTTTTTTATTAATCTTAGGAAATATTCTAATATTTTGAGATACTGGATTTTTGACATTCATGAGCTGTAAGCTCTAATCATCAAAATTAAAACAAAATAAATGTTTGAAATGTTTTACTTTACATGTAATGAATCTAGAATATATGAAAGTTTCACTTTTTGAAATAAGTTACAAAAAAATGAACTTTTTCACAATATTCCAATTTTTCTTTAGATGCATCTGTGTATATAAATACTTGTGATGTTGTTCCAATTCACCACATCTGTCAAGTTCATGGCCACTTGTATGTCTGGAACAGATGTGATTAAATAATGACAGGATTCTTACGATTTGTAAAGCAGAATGTGATGAATTTGGCCTGACCTTCAACAGAACAGCTTCAGAGGATCCAAACAGCAGTTGTGTGTCCAGAGCTCGTTCTCTGATCAGACGCTCCAGCTTTGGGAAGTTTCCCAAACACAGGTAAGAGAGATGATAGAAAAGAGCTGTTCGCTCCGCAGACGGAAGAAGCTCCCGGATGAACTCTGGACTCCATGAGAGTTCACTGGGCACGACCTCTGAATCACCAAACCAAACTTTACTTACAGTTAACAGCCTCTAGGGTTCAATTATTGGTGAAATGGCACAGTAATATTGTACAAGTAAAAGCTTTTTTTGTTGTTAGTTAAACCATTTGTTTATATATGTGCCAGTTGTGGTTCTTTGCCACTGCTGCCTTCAGCTTCACTGAGAGTTTGTAAAGCATAATGTTTCATGAAGCTGCTTTGAACAATTTGTATTGCATTGGATAATAAAGCTAAAATTAAAACGCTGTTGTTGTAAAGAACACACGTGAAATACCGAAGAGCACGTCTCTGATATAAAGTAAGTTGCTCATATGCACCTGTAGGTTTGGGGCTCGAACTCGAAGCGAACGTCTCCTGCTTCTGACTCTTCTCCAGTCTCGGCCTCCTGGCTGTTAGAAGAGAAACCGTGACAAAATGGCTTTGAAAATGAGACCAATTATTGAGACTGATTTTTATTGATAGAGAAATAATATGGATCTAACAGAGATGAATCTAAGCTGTGGTTTCATGTTTTTTCAATTTATTTGAAGTGTATATTAGCTATCTCTCACCTTTGGACATTGTTTTCTGCAGCAGTAAAGTCTTCTAAGGTCTAAAAATACAACAGACATGAAATGCAAGTAGAATGAACAGAAAATGAATTAAATATATAAATATATAGGCCTACATAAATAAAAAAAGTGAGGTGAATTGCTCAGACTATATCAATTGTTTTGTTTCCTCAAGACAGACATGTATATTCTGCTATAGGCCTATATCTCTTTGTGATGGACACAAAGCTTTGGGTGTGTGATCCAGTTAATGAATCACTGAGACGTGAATAGCCAAATATAACTGATGTTTTAAGTGGGTCAAAAACAACGTGCGAGTCGACCGGAGTAGTTTGATTCACGAACAAATGATTCGAATGAGTCGGTTCTTTCTGTTGATTCAAAAACATATAGCGCGACTGGAGGATTCTGATTCACGAACGAGTCAAAAATAAACAGTGCAACCTCTGTATCCAGAAATAAGTTCAAATACTCTGTCTCTAAGTATATTTTCATATTAATAAATAAGAGAAAATGCCTTAAACACTCTGCAAACTTTTTCTTTTTACTCTAATCTAAGGTTTTATCTGTTGAGAAACCAAGAATGCTTTAAATAAATCAAAGATCAAATGTATGTGGTTTCAGTGTGTTGACATATTACCTTTATTAATACAATACATGTAAAATGTATTGTATTAATAAACCTCTGTGTTAATCTCAGCTGGTTTTTAATTTTAGCTTTTTCTAATTGCTTTATATTATTATGACACTTTTTGTAGCACTTTGAGATATTCTTTAAAATGTAAAGTGCTTTATAAATGTATTATTATTATTATTATTAATGCCAGTTATGTCACTGTATTTTTTTTTTAAATGTATTAATTTATCAAAAAAAGAATTTGTTTTTAGTGAACCTAAAGAGAGATCAGATCTGTGATTATTATTATGAACATCTGTTACAAATCTCGCATAAATAATCCTGAAAGGAAAAGCTGCTGTACAGTTTCCTTCTACTGTCCTGCAGCAGCGGCATCAGCCAAATTATGGACAAAAATCCCTTAAGTCACTTGGTTTTATATCAGTTGCACCATTCAATGACCTGCTTCTCTGTGAAATCACGTGTTTTAGAGTTTGAGCTTTATCTGGTGACCCAAAACACACAAGCTATAAAAGATGATACATCCACAGATCAAACATAACAGAATGATGTGCAAAAACTGTAAAATGTTTTGACTGATATAAACAGATTTACAAATAAACATCATATAGTTCAGAGTTTAGCAGGATAATTTAAGGTTTTTTACATTACTGTGGGTTTTACGGTCATCTTCTGGAAGTCAGATGGAAATGTGAGACGGCCGTATTGATTGAGATGTAACTTTCTGATTAAAATCACATTTTAAGATTGAAATGATATTCAGATCTTTTACCATAATATCATGTGGTGATTTTTAATAATTTCTTATATTATAAGGATGCTGCAGTGAGTTCTAACATTATAAACTCACGATTTATTAAGAAATATTCCAGGTGTTTCCGCATTTTTCTGTCATAAAAAATATATATATAAACTGTAATTATCAAATATCACTTTCCATCCTGCTGTTGTTTTAATCCTTCTAATAAAATCCATAATGACGCCATCCTATAGGATCAGTATGAGATCATGGATGAGTTGTGTTTGGTAATATTAGTTTGGTTCTTCATCTTGACAGCCACACTAAATGTCTTCTAGTGATACTCAGTGACATTAGCACTTCATGAACATCCCATTCGTTTTCTTATAGCATAAATAATCAAGCTATAATTAATGAAGCTGAAGGACCTGTCCAGAGCAGATTCCTGAAAGAAATAGGCCTACTATAAAATAGAAATATAGAAATACTTAATAAAGTTGAAACACAAACCTCATTTCCTCAAGAACCTAAGTTCTTTCAACTCAAGCATCTAAATAAAATCATACCCGTTTTCAATTCTTGATGTCAATTAGACTTTGCAAAACTTTGAAAAACCTAAATGACAGTGTCTGCTGCCCTCTTCTGGACAGTCCTGAAGAATATTTTATGCTGAACTGGTTCTTTTTGTTCAAGTTTAGGTTTCTTTATTCCCACCTGTAGATGTCAAAGCCACATCATTATTAATATTCTGGAGCTCAACCATCAACTACACAGATTGTCATCACACTCTCAACATGTACATGAGTTCATCCTTAAAGGGGTCATATGATGCGATTTCAATGTTTCCTTTCTTTCCTTTGAAGTGTTACAAGCTCTTGGCACAGCACACCTCGCTTTTCAGACCGATGAGCTTTGTAAAAATCGACTCGTTTCAGAAAGGCGGGGCATAGAGGAGAAACAATAATGTACAGTATGTGGAAAATAATGTGTTTTTTGAACCTTAAACCGCATAAACACATTTCATTACACCAAATACACAAAATAATGTTCTTTTTAGCAACATCATATGACCCCTTTAAAATCTCTATACATTTTAACTTTCAAATTGTAACTGGTATTCTTACATGTCATTTCTCTTTTTAGTTTAACAGAACATGTAAGTGTGAGCAGCTCTGTTCAGTTAAGAGATATTGAATTTATGATCCATATTGTTAGATTTTTCTTTTAATTATAACCTGGGTTTATGCATAAACATGCTCAGTCACAAAAAATCATTAAGGCCTGGTTTCACAGACAGGGCTTCGACTAAGACAGGATTAAGACATAGTTCAATTAGGACATTTAAGTAATCTTTATAAACATGCTTAGAAAAAAATATTACTGGTGTGCATCTTGAGACAAAACAAAGGCACTTATATATTTTAACATCAATCAGTGCAAATTTCTTTCAGTTGAAACAGCTCAGACTTACATTTTAGTCTAGGATTAGGCTTAAGCTTTGTCTGTGAAACTGGGGGTAAAGCTATGATCCCATGACTTTATATCACTTTTTCCTTTTAACATTGTGAAGTGCTTACATACTGTCCATTTGTGCTACATTTGGCCTTCGTGAACATAATTATTTTTACATAAACAAATGGAAGAGACACACTGTAACTCTAAACTCAGTGATGTATCTCAGATGTAATAGAGGCTACAACAGATTATAAGAACACGCAGATAGAGGGGTAAAAAAAGAACATTAATATATTAATATAAGTAATATATTATTAATATTAGTATTGTCAATAAATATACTAATGTGAAACTATTATTTAAAAGATTACTTCATATACAGCACTTACAAAGCATGGTTCTTTATGCAACCTTATAAAAAGGGTTCTATTTAGCACCAAAAAGGGTTCTGTTGTTACAAGCCGAAGAACCCTAATTTGCAAGGGTGTAGAATTTAGTAGAAACTCTATGACATGTCCCTACCAATATCCAGTGACTACTAAATTGTCCCTAGAAATTATTTTGATCAAACAATTAACTATATGTGTATGTAACCACTGTTGTTGTAATTTCGGCCTCATCTGAAATAGGTCTTACTATTGATGTTACCTGAGAAGTTAAAGAAATACGCTAGAAAAGAGCCAAAGTGTTTAAAACACACGAGCACAGTTCAGCTGAATGATAAAGTTTACCCTCTTTAACTTTATGTTGTTCTGCTGTTTTCTGTTCATCTGCTTCTCCCATTTGCTCTTTTTACATTGACTATCACACTATATAGACTAATACAATACAATACACCTGTCCTGATCTCATGCCAAAAAAATCAAATATAAAATCAAATATAAAATGACTTTACTTCAAGTTATAGACGTTTTACATTAAGGTATGGACATTTAACTCGATTGTATCGATTTAAAGCGCAGCAGAGTGAGGTAAAGGTCTGCGCCTATACCTTGTGTTTGTTGCCTGTGGGAAAGCATGGCTGCTCGTAAGGATTAAAGAGAAAGACTCTGGACTGTACATCACACATGAACAGGTGTGTGAATTGATGGAGCAACAGAAAGCCTTCTATAAAGAACTGTTGCAACAACAAGAAAGCAATTTTAAAGGGGTCCTATTATGTTGAGACATTTTCAACATCTCGCTAAGCCAGGCTGTTGTCCCCACATGCTTCAAAGCTACCATCATCATTCCAGTACCGAAGAAGTCATCTCCATCCTGCTTCAATGACTACCGTCCAGTTGCACTTACCCCCATCCTCATGAAGTGCTTTGAACGGCTAGTCATGCACCACATCAAGTCTGCCCTCCCCCCCTC